CTGGGCTGATAGAGAATCCAGGGGCCATGCTCTCTGGGGTTCCTCCAGTCTCAGTCAGACCATTAAGTCTGGTCTTTTTACTAGAATTTGAGTTCTGTACCCCACCTTTCTCCTGCTCCATCAGGGACTCTCTGTTGTGTTCCCTGTTCCGGCTATCATTGGTGGTAGCCAGGCACCATCTAGTTCTTCTGGTCTCAGGCTGATGAAGTCTGTTTTAAGTGGCCCTTTCCATCTCTTGGGCTAATACTTTCCTTGTGTCTTTTGTGTTCTTCATTCTTCTGTGCTCCAGGTGGTTGGGACCAACTGATGCATCTTAGATGGCCGCTTGCAAGCTTTTAAGACCCCAGACACCACTCACCAAAGTAGGATGCAGAACATTTTCTTAATAAGCTTTGTTAGGCCAGTTGACCTGGAGGGACATGTCACTCTTGTTTATGATTTATTATTACTGTCTGGCACACTGCTTGACATGTAGTAAGTTCTTAAATATTTGTGGGATAAGAGTGTGTCTCTAATAAATGGTATATGTTTAGATTTGTTTTTTGGACCAGTCTAAGTCTTTGTCTTTTAAGAGGTGAGTTTAAATCTTTTATATTTATTGTTATGAAATTATTTGTATCTCTATCATCTTATTTTATTATGTCTGGTTTTCATGCATCTCTACAGTTTCCTTGAATATCTGTCTTTTGCTATGTGGGCTGTTTTCTTTGCTCTCTATTAGACCTACCAATGCTTGAACCATAGCAGTCCCTTCCGTAGTCTCTCTGTATCTTCACTTTTTGCTCATATCCCTCTGCCTTCCACTAGAGCTCTTGATGCTGACTCAAATCCAAGGGAAGGTTCCAGTTTACATTTTTAGGGCTGATACAGGGGAAAGGAGTGCTGTCTTCCTACCAGTTCTGTAAAGGTAGGAGTTGGATATGTTTTGGGCATCTTCTGTTATTACCTAAATGCATTTATCCACAAATACGATGCTCTTACAATTGCATAGTATCATATATGAAATAAGCTTTATTGGTGGTCTGGAATCTAATCATTTCTTTTAGAATTAAAATGTTGTGAGGAAATGTGCTTCATTTGAAAGAATTGATCTAATTTTTAGAGTATTCCATACTATTCAAAAATTGGGAAAATGTGTACTGTGTCATAATCACCCACTCTAATCTTATGCCCACTTCTGGACAAGATACAGTGATTGATTCATTCATGCTATTCATTCTTACAACATTCACTTTCCGTTTTGTGTACCAAGCACTGCCCTAGCTACTGGGAATGCAAGTAATTAAAACACTTAAGAGTCTAGTGAGGAAGACATATATGAACACAAATGATTCCTTTTTTTGTGGTTTATTTACTTGTCCTTATATTTAGAAAAATCTTCCTCATGCAAATATCTGATATAATCTGTATAAAAACTGTTTTGGTGAGGGTACAAAATAGGGATCTATGTTTCTTCTTTTCCAAATGGTTATTTGAGCAATCACTTCCTTCTCTGGTTTAAATGCCACTTTTATCGTGAGCTAAGATATAATGTAAATTGAGTGTCTCTAAGCTTTCTACTGTTTTCCTCATCTGTTCAACTATTTTAAATATTGTAACTTTATAGTGCATTTCAATGTCTGGTGATGCAAGTCATTCCTTTTTTTTTTTTTAAGTTATCTTCCGAAATATTCTTTATTTTCAGTTTATTCTTTGCATGGTTTTCTTTATTTTGTTTTGCTAGTCCCTTAAAGATGATTAATTGGAATTCTAATGTCCAAGTTCTGAACGAAGTTTTTAAGTAATAACTTTAAAGACCTAGTTTAAATTTGGTTTTAACTAAAGGGAATATGAACATTCACTGGGTAAATATGAAGCATGAATGATGATGCCAGGTTTCATTTTTGCTGAGTTTGAAATATTTTAATGACTTGTTTTGCTGTTCAATGCCAGAGACTTTAAATTCAAAGCACGGTGTTTAAAACTTGGTGTAGACTTTGCTATTTGAATTTTTATTTTATTTATTTTTTGCACCTTAGGTTTAGTCCAAAGGCATCTCTTCCGCCAGCTTTTCAGATGCATCTGTCAAGAACCTGTAGTAAGGAAATGAGCGGTAAGTTTTCCAAACATTATCTTCATGATACATATTGGCGTCTGGAACCTCAGAGCCCCAAGGAGAATATCGGATGATGGCCTTTTCCATCTGGTCTCACCTTCTCTTGTTCTGAATGTATCTCTCCTCCCATCTTTCCCAATTTTTTAGTCATGAATTGAAGTGATCTAAAGAGAAAATAATACCTCCAAGGAGATCACTCTTATTCTGACTTGAGGCCTGTCTCACAACAGACCTCTGTTTCGCTTCCACAGTGACCTGCAGAGAGATACTGTGACCTTCCTTAGCCTGGCACACATCAATTAGAGGCCTCACTTAAAGGAAGCCCCCTGCTCTGGATTTAAAATATGTAAATATAGGACTTAAATTCAAGAACTTAAAATCCTCTACTGTTTAAAAGCTGTCACCTTAAACTGAGTGCAGTGACCACTAAGCATCTAAGCATAAATATAAATGACTACTCAGGTTGTAAAATCCCAAAAGGCTCTCAGGTAAGGAAACAATAGGACACATAATAAAGTCAAGGAATCTGATGATTAGAAATACTCTCACTCATCTCCTCCTCCCACCCATGTGTGAATCCCCCGCTCATAGACCCACCCTGAGGAACACTGTTTTCAGATCCAGTACTTATACTTCAGGAAATTTAAATGTGATTTTAAATGAAATGCTGCTTTAAGTGTGATTCTTACCAAGTTGAAATTATTATTTTGTACCAGAACATATCTCTTGTATGATTTTTGCTTATATGAATTACTTTTACATATGTATAGTCTGAAACATGACTCGTCAGTAAAGTCAGTATTATGAAAATTAGTTAACAATATGATTTTTGTTTATATGAATTACTTTTGCAGATGTATTGCCTGAAACCCTTTTAGAGGATTAAATTCCTATAAGCTTTTCCTGCAGAACCAAGCAGATTTGTTTTAGGACAGTTATGAATCACCTGGCAGACATGATATGCACGTGTCCACGCAACCTCTCCTTCATGCTGGCAGGCTAGATTACTTCCCTGATTTGTTTAACAAAAGATACAGCAGCTTAGCTGACTCTGGTGGCCCCACTGAACAGCCACATTTACAAAGCCTCCAACTCCCCGTCAGCTGCTGACTCTGTCTCAGTAATGGAGGGTCTGCCCGTTCTGAGAGACTCATCTTTTCCCTCTCCCCAGTCCCTTTATGTCATTGTTTGGGAAGAACTTAAATAAATTAGCTATGCCCTTAAATAGGAAATATTTATGGACAGCCAGGACCCTTCTTTCTCTGAGTCAAACTCACTCTCACCAAAGCCCCAGGTTCTCCTACCCTGCAGTGGGAAAAGCAGTGTCAGCGTCTGGACATCCTGGAGGATAGTTTAGCCTTTGGCATCCTCACATCCCCCAAGGCCAACAGCCCCAGACTAGCCTGTATGCCTCCACCAGCCAATTAAAAAGTAAAATAAAATAAAAATTATTAAATCCTAGCAAAAATACTATCCAATTAAAATAATGTATTTTACTTGTAGGTGGTAACATTTAATATATTCTGATCTATAGCTCAGTGAAATTTAGAATAGGTTTAGAATGAATTTCATAGTTTTTAAAATACCAGAGCTGTCAGCTATAGTGAACACTCAAATTTCTTTATTCTCAGCATGTTAATTCAGCCATTAAATAGAAAGTAAACATGGGTAAGAGGACTAACCAGAACTTTATAAATATTCATTTATGAATATTGTTAACAATTATCTGTGGGGTCCAAACATTTTATTTATCTTTATACACTGAGGCTAGGAGGATTATTGTAGGTGGAGCAATTTTTGGACTTCTGTGTATTGCTAAATTATTCTGTTAAAGGGGAAAATTGATTCTCTCTTAAAGCCTGGACCATTTTTTATCTTCTACGAAATGTTCTTCAGTCTTACTATTAAGACATTATTCTTATGCTTTGCGGAATATAGCTTATATTCAGCGTTGCATATATCCCAACATTGTCTAAAAATTAACTTAGTTGCACTTAGAAAATGGTTGGTTAAATAAACTTCATTATTCTTTTTGTAGCAAGTCATCCTGATGTTTAAACTATGAAGCACCCATGCAAAATAAAGGGGCTAGGTTCTCTCTGTGGGTGTCTGTTGACCCTGCTAGTTATTTCAGAGTTAAAACTTAGAATGAGGTTTTTCTGGAGCTCCTTTGCCTAACCCTGATCCCTTCTAAGTCCCTTGACCCACACAAGCCTGTAATATAGCAGAGCCTAAAGACAGGTAAAGTACTAGGTGATGGGGATAATCTAAAATGTTAAGTATTTTTGTTAATTCTATGATTTTTTTAATTTAAAGATAATTTAAATCAGACTGTTGAAAAACCAAATGTCACGCCTCCTGCCTCTAACACTTATAAAATGGATGAGGTTCAAAATCGCATAAAGGAAATACTAAACAAGCATAACAATGGCATTTGGATATCTAAGCTTCCACATTTTTACAAAGAGTTATATAAAGAAGAACTTAATCAAGAAATTTTACAGCAGTTTGAACACTGGCCTCATATTTGCACGGTATGTTTTCCTTATTCTTCCCTCCTCATCTTTCCTCCCTGCCCCCCTTGCATTATTAGCCATATCAGCTTTTATCAAGGGAGCACAAAGCACTTTACATATATTGTCTCATTAAGCTTTATCTCTAAGATTGACAAATACTGGTTCTTATTTATAGGAGAAGTATGTCAATGTTGAGGGCCCTGTGTGTTATAATTGCTTTTGTAATTTATTTTATTTTACATTATTTTTAAAATGCATTTAATATATGATAGTATGTATACCATTTTGTGTTTAATACTACTAATAGACAGTGATAGCTTTTCTATTTTAATAACTTGAACTTGCTGGTAATAAGAACATTTTTTACTAACTTCAAATTTTATATACTTCTTGTTGATCATTTTAAAAGACTTTAAGTTGAACAAATATTAATTAAGCTATTCTTAGCTAATTCTTTATAGACTACCTTATTTTTATTTAAAAAATTACTATAGGGTTCAGATTTTAAATTTTTACAAACTACCTTTGGAAAAAAATTAAGAAATGAGTTGATTTATCAATTTCCATACCTATTTATACTTCCAAAAACCAAAACCCGTTGCCATCAAGTCGATTCTGACTCACAGCGACCCGTATGATAGAACAGAATCGTCCAGTAGGGTATCCAAAGAGCAGCTGGTGGGTTTGAACTGCCAACCTTTTGGTTAGCAGCCATAGCTCTTAACCACTGTGCCACCAGGGCTCCTATTCCTACTTAGGAGTCTATTATAATAAGATGATAGATCAGAATAGTTTATTAAAAATCTTAGTTTGGCTAAAGATAGACGACTAGATTCTTAAACCAAAACAGCTCACGTTTAGATGTTTCTTTTTTAATCTTCTGTTGTGTATTAGGTGAAAGTTTACAGAGCAAGTTAGTTTTCCATTCAATAGTTTATACATAAAGTGTTTCATGACATTGGTTTCATTCCCCACGATGTGTCAGCACTCTCCCCATTTCCGTCCTAGGTTCCCTGTTTCCTTTCTTCCTGAGTTTCTACCCCTTCCTGCCTTTTCATCTTTGCTTTTGGGCAAATGTTACCCTTTTGATCTTCAGTAATTGATTGTTCTAAAGAGCACATTCCTCTTGGGTATTATTGTTTATTTTTATGGGTCTGTCTATGTTTTGGCTGTAAGGTGTTTTCTGGGAATAGCTTCAGTTCCAGTTCAGAAGGGTGTCTTTGGACCGTAGCCTTGGGGGTTCCTCTGGTTTCTGTCAGACCAGTAAGTCTGGTCTTTTTGTGAATTTGATTTTTTGTTCTATAATTTTTCTCCTGCTCTGTCTGGGACACTCTACTGTGATCCCAGTCAGAGCAGTCGGTAGTGGTAGCCGGGCACCATGTAGTTCTTCTGGTCTCAGGGTCGTGTAGGCTGTGGTTCATGTGGTCCATTAGTCCTTTGAACTGATTGCTCCCTTGAGTTTTTGGTTTTCTTTACTCTCCTTTGCGCTGGATGGTAAGAGACCAATAGTTGTATCTGAGATGGCTGCTTGCAAGCTTTTAAGACCCTAGATGCTACTCATCAAAGTAGGATGCAGAACTTTGTCTTTATAAACTGTTGTGCCAATTGGCATAGATGTCCCCCAAGTCTATGGTCCTTTGCCCTTGAGCCTAGGAACTTCATCCTGTAATGTGTTTGGTTATTTCTAAGAAGTTGTCCTGACTGTGGCCCTTGTGTGCTCTATTGTCTATATTAATATATAAGCAGCATCTACAGTTATGTATGTAGAAATATCCACCACGAAACCTGTATCTGCAGGTAGGTGTGTTCCCTTACACCTTCCCACACTTCTTGGCATACCTATCTACCTATGTATCCATTTGTGCATTAGTGTTTGTTAATACTATTGTTGCAGGATTGTTTTTGCTTAAATGTTTCTTAATGTCTTATTTACATAGACTGTAATCAACAATGTAACTGTTTTAAGTGGTAACATTAGTAGCTACTTGGTGCTTGTGACCTTGTAGAGTTAAATACGCATGAAGATTATGTATGTTTTGATAGAAAGATTTTATTTCTTTTTTAAATTTAAATATATATTTTGGCTCCCAAGTCTATTAGGTAAAGTATAGACTGCTCCCTCTTTATAAGCAGCTGGCTAAAAGACAGCTTGTATTTTTTTTTTAACTTTTTTTTTTTTATTGTACTTTAGATGAAGGTTTACAGAACAAATAGTTTCTTATTAAACAGTTAGTACACATATTGTTTTATGACAATGGTTAACAACCCCATGACATGTCAGCACTGTCCCTTCTCAACTTTGGGTTCCCTAATACCGGCTTTTAACAGCCTGTCAGTATAATCTGCTTTAGAACAGTTATACCAGGGTATTTTCCCTTTTATCTGACTTCTTGCTTTTCACCTTGCTGAAAAGCAGAAACACTGATAGCACACCCAGGGCTGATACTATTACAAGTAATGCCAGACAGTCTCAAACACAATGCATGAAATTTAGGATAAGAAGAAACTTGGTAGTGGCTTGTCATGTAATTGGAGAAGAAATCCAAGTGTAGTGTTGTATTTCTTCTTCTTTTGAAAGTGCTTTTCTCCCTAATCAAATAAAACATTTTATATAAAAAATATTGAAAAATAAAGTTGTAAAAAACTAAAAATCACTCATAGTCCTACCACCCAGAGATAGCCACTTGCAGGGATTTCCATTTGAAGATCAGAATGGGCAGCATCAATTTCAGGGACCAAACAGCAGCTCTGAAATTCTCCCTCCATGAAGGTTCTAATCAGCTATATGCTACTAGCCACTTCACTAGGATGTTGGATGACATTTTGATACAGACAGAAGAACACTTTGACTCTGTCGTTCTTAATCTTTTAGATCTCTCAGACAACAAAAACATGTTTTTGAGCCAGACAGGCCTAGATACATTCAGCTGAGAAGAATTATTGCCAGTAACCTCTAAGACCTGGCACTGAAGCACGGGGAGGCAGCTGCAAGGCAGCAGGAGGCACACCAGGCCTTAACTATGTTGTTGTTAGGTGCTGTTGAGTTGGTTCCAACTCATAGCAACCTCATGTATAACAGAGGAAAACATTGCCTGGTCCTCTGCCATCCTCATAGTGGTTATGCTTGAGCCCATTGTTGCAGCCACTGTGTCAGTCCATCTCATTGAGGGTCTTCCTCTTCTTCACTGTCTACTTTACCCAGCATGATGTCCTTCTCCAGGGACTGGTCCCTCCTGATAACATGTCCAAAGTATGTGAGATGAAGTCTCGCCATCCTCTCTTCTAAGGAGCATTCTGGCTGTACTTCTTCCAAGACAGATTTGTTTGTTCTTCTGGTAGGGCACAGTATATTCAGTATTCTTCACCAACACCATAATTCAAAGGCATCAATTCGTCTTCAGTCTTCCTTATTAATTGTCCAGCTTTCGCATGCATATGAGGCTATCAAAAATACCGTGGCTTGGGTCAGGTGCACCTGTCTTTGCTTTTTAGCACTTCAAAACGGGGATCTTTGGCAGCATGTTTGCCTAACGCAATACACTGTTTGATTTCTTGACTGCTGCTCCCATGGGCATTGATTGTGGATCCAAGTAAAATGAAATCCTTGACAACTTCAGTCTTTTCTCTGCGTATCATGATGTTGCTTATTGTTCCAGTTGTGAGGATTTATGTTTTCTTTATGTTGAGGTGTAATCCATACTGAACTCCTGTTTGGAACTTACTGTGCTGGTCATGTTTAGAGGTTTGTCAAAGTTAAGCACATTGTTAAGTAATTGACCCTGATTGCATCTCAGGCACAGATGGGAATGTAAGCTTTGGGACTGGGAGTGGGGGACACTAAATCAACATTGAGGTATGCCATAGTTCTACTTCCTTGATTGGAAAGAAAAGGATTATAAAGCTGAAGAGCCCCTCTTATCCTCATTCGGGTTAGAAGAAGCCCTGTGGACAGGTGGGGAATGGAGCTTGTGAGAGTTATTTTAGATAATTAACACTGAATATCTTTTCATGTGTTTGGTGGCCACTTGAATGTCCTCTTTGATGAAATATCTATTCAAGTCTTTTGCCCATTTTATGATTGAATTATTTGTCTGTTATGTTGTCGACATTTTATATATTTTTTGGTTATTAGATCCTTATCAGACATACTGTTTTTGAAGATATTCGCCCAGTCAGTAGCTTGTCTTTTCACTTTTTTAGTAAAGTCTTTTGATGAACAAAAGTTTTTAATTTTTAGGAGGTCCCATTTGTTTATTTTGTCTTTTGCTGTTTGTGCTTTTGTTATTAGATAATCCATTGTTAAAAGCTAGACCTGACAGTGTTGCCCCTGCATTTTCTTCTAAGTATTTTATGGTTTTAGATCACACATTTAGGTTCTAAATCTATTTTGAATTGTTTTTGTGTTGATGTGAGGCATGGATCTTGTTTTATTTTTCTGCGTGTGGAAATCCAGTTTTCCCAACACCATTTATCGAAGAGAGTCTTCTTTCCCCACTGAATGGACTTAGCACCCTTGTCAAAAATCAGTTGACCATAGATGTGTGGCTTTATTTCTGAACTGTCAATTCTTTTCCATTGGTCTGTGTGTCTATCCTTATACCAGTGCCAGGTTATTTTGATTACTGTGGCTGTATATGTTTTAAAACCAAGAAGTGTGAGTCCTCCTACTTTGTTCTTCTCTCTCAACATTGCTTTAGCTATTCGAGGCTTCTTGTCATTCCACATAAAGTTGAGGATTGTTTTTTCTATTTCTGTAAAGAAGGCTGTTGGAATTTTGATGAGGATTGCGTTGAATCTATAGATCACTTTGGGTAGTATTGACATCTTAACAATATTAAGTCTTTAATATTTAATTCCAGGAATACGGAACATCTTCCATTTATTTAAATCTTCTTTAATGTCTTTCAGCGGTGTTTTATAATTTTCATTGTATAAGTCCTTCACATCTCTGGTTAGATTTATTCCTAGGTATTTTATTCTTTTAGATGATATTATAAATGGAATTGTTTCCCTAATTT